GGGAAAAAAAAAAGGGGGGGGGGGAGTGGAAGGGGTCCGTTTGACTGCAGAGATTTGCCTTACCACCTCAAGAACAGGGGAACTCCAGAACAAGTCCACACAGAAAGACTTGTTTGTACTCCATGAACTCCTAGAGACCCCAGCCAAGCTCTGGGCCACACTATTAGCCATTTCACACAGCCCTATGTTTCAGGTTTGGCCGTTTCAGAGGGACAGCGATTTGTTTCACTGTTTCGGATCACTGTTCCATTTTGATTCGGCCACATCTGTTTCAGAGTTTCGATGCTGTTTCGGGGATTCAGATCAGCCGGGCGGCTGCAGGTTTTCCCACGGCTCCTCCGGCTGTGCCTGCCTCTCCCTGGGCAGGGGGAGTCGCGGGACAAGCCCCCGCGGCTGCCCTGCCCTCCCACCCCCCCCAGAACTTTAGTCCAGCACAGCCCGTCAGCCCTCCTTTTATTCCTTGTGGGCAGGACCTCTGAAACATGGTTTAGTTTCATTTCAGAGATGTTTCAGAGCCTTTTGTTTCAGAGTCGGTGTTTCAGGTGCTGAACCACCTTCGAAACAAAACGGCTGCTGAAGTTTTGCACAGCCCTACTCACTATGCAACGTAGTGACGCAAAGCAAGAACTCACTATCTAATCAGACCAGGCCAGGCAGAGGGGAGGGAGGGGCATGCCTTGCCCAAGGTCACAGCAAGCATGTCAGCGTAATTGCTGGGAATTGAACCCACATCTCCCACCTCCCAGCCCAGTGGCCTCTCTCACCCTGCAGGATGTGGAGAGGATTCTCCCAAAAACGAGGAACCACTTGGGATCACTATTCTTCCTCCATTCCTTAGCGCTGTCTGCTCTCTCACACTAAAAACGGGGCCAGCATGAGCAGTTGGGTTCTACACAGCACCTTAATTGTGCCAACAGAGCCCAGAAAACCTTCAGCAGTTTGGCACCAGGAGCTTCCTATTTTTTGTATTTTATTTTTTTTGCTCAGCTGAGCAGCAGCCCTCAGCACCTGTCAATGAACCAAACCCATAGACTTGCTGGATCTTTCCCTCTACTGCATGCCACATATTCTTCTTAATACCCATCATTTAATTCCTATACCCAGCTCTTAGAATGGACTTCTTTTTAATGCGGTCAGAAATGCGTGCTATGAAATAGAAATATTTTCAGGCTTGTGTGTACCTTATGCTGTGGCAAATGGGTCCTGGAACACCTTCATCATTATTTCTAGGGCTTGAGTTGTTCACCAAACTGCCAAGCTAACACTACACGGTCATGGTCTTGGACCACGGGTTTTCCCCACAAGAGCCTAATTCAGTGGTTCTCAAGGTTTTTTCAACTTGAGGCATCCCTGGCTAGACTTGAGGCTCCCCTTGGAATATGCCAGTTCCTAATTTTTACTCTTTTTACGACTACAGAAAAATAAATACAGCAGTTTTTCCTGTTAAAAAGAGCTCAAGAAGACCACAATTATAGATTTCCATTTGAAATCTCTGAGTTTCTTGTGAGTCATGCCTGAACACCCAGCAGTGCTAACCAAACATTGCATGGCACTCTACAGCACCCTTGAAAGGCTCCTAAAGGCACCATGGTTGAGAATCATTGGTCTAATTATACCCTTACATCCAAAGGCACGGGGTATTTCTTGTCAGAAGACATTCCACATACTAAGACAATCAGATCCACTTGGTGTTGTTATGTATGATGTGTCAACACCACATAAAAGAAAGCCTCCTACATATGCTAGCACAAACATGCCTTACCTCATCCTTGTCACCCAAGATGGAGGATTTTATGGGGTTTCCTGGAGCAGTGGTCTCCAAAGTGGGGTGTGCAAGACAATCCACTGGGGTACGGGAAGAAAATTAGAACTTCTATTTATATAAATATACATATATTGGGGGTGTGTGCTCAAAAATTTTTTACTGACGGGTGCACGATCAAAAGTTTGGAGACCACTGTCCTAGAGAACAAACCAGCTGAACTGCACCTTTAAAAAGTATCTGGCATATAGCACTTGAAAAAAAAAAAAAAAAAGGCTCCCTTCCAATATTAAGCTATAGTAAATTTGACACAGCTGGCAAACTCAGCTCAAGAGAGATCACAGCTTGTAAAAAGCAGGGAGTTCACAGGCTCCAGGTGCCTTCCTGTGATGAGTAGCATCTAGGCTGGCAGCAAGAGCATCTTCCCCATCCTCCTCTTACTGGTTAAACTGCAGTAAGCACTGAAATTAGATGGCCACTGAGTCAGGTGCTACCATTTGTGCACCAGGAGAGAAGACGACTGTAGCAAAGGCCTACCAGTATTTTGCTCGGTGTTTACATGTGAGAGGTAGGTTTGTACTGGATTAAACTACAGCAGATCTCAATGAAAAGTGCTTCTGGATGAAGCCGCATAATGGGTAAATGCCTCCCCCATTTCACCTCTGAAAAAGCAAATTGCAACTGAAACGTGCTTGTTGCTCTCAACCAAGTCTCGGATATATGCCACTTGAGTCACAGAGCTACCCAGGATGACCGATAGTCAACTGTGAAGCCCAGGTCAAGTAGCAGAAATGCAGATTAGGACAAAGTGCAATGGTAGAAATAATCTGTCTGTGTAGAAAGCAATACAAGTTCATGTTTACGCGGAAAGAGTCAAAGTAGGCACTCACTGTTTAACAGAAATAAAGTGCGACTGTCCCTTCTCTGAAAGGTTTTATGTAATTTCTGATGCCAACTGATGCATAAGGAGTCATGTGAATGGATTCCAGCACAGGGTCTCAGCTGGCATAAATCAGGATTAGCAATTCAGAAATCAAGGGAGCTGAATCATTCTACACCAGTTGAAAACCTAGCCGTGGGTTACTAGGCATGTTGGGAGACTCAGAAGTTCACTGTGGGGCCTCTCTTAGATTTGAGCTGATTTTCCAAGAGATTGTATAACTCCAAGCTCAGATATATAGGCTTTGAGTAGTTATTTTGGCCGTTTAAAGCCTGTCTAATTCCCTGCATGCTCAACAGAAAGTCTAGCCAAATACAAGTGAGCAGTTTAGTACCTTTTATGCTCCCATCAGAACCACAAAGAGAAGTCACCACTCCTGGGTTTCAAAAGCTCATCTTTATCTAGAATACACAGGGTAGGAGGAGGAACATCTGGCAGACAGATGCTACATTCCTGCCCTGCTCTAACCTTTTAACCTTGAGATTGCAATTTATGGTAGGTTGGTTTCATTTGGTCATTCTTAAGTCATGTGGAGGTCAAGCCAAGCAACTTTTCAGCCCTTCCCTCCTTCCTAGCCACCCCAGACCCACAAATGGTCAATTGCCATGCAGAGTCAAGGATTACTGGTGTCACACTGGCTTGCATTCCCAGATCATAAACATCACTGTGTATCGTAATTAGAAAAGGCTGGATACTGTATGCTTTCCACAGCAGACCCTCTCAAAGGGGTCATCAGTATAATAGCAAACAGGATGGGTTAACTCTCTAACTCAGGAGGTGGTATGTATTTACTCTCCTAGCCATATTCCAGAGAAGAATATGCTTTGTGCAATTATACCACACAAATGTCAAACAACAGAGCATTCAATACAATGGGGACCCAAGGTCCCCCCAACTCAGGGGTGGGCAAAATACAGCCCACAGGCTGGTTTTGGCCCATGGCAGGCCCCTCAGCCCCACCCATCCCAGGCACAGTGGGGGGCAGGGGCAGCCTGGGCTGTGACATGCAAGAGCAGTCCCACTGCCCCCACGACATGCACGGTGAGGCAGGGGGAGGGCAATGCAGTGGCTGGACTCTGCTTTCCAGTAGCACCTGCAGCAGTGGCTCCTTCCGACTGCTGCTGCTAGTGTCTCCACTGCTGCTGGACCCAGCCCCACTGCCTAGGCACTCTGGCCTGACTGTCCCGCACCCACTGCCAAGGGTGCCAGACGGAGCAGGTGGGAGAGGTCTCCATAGACATAGGCCAGGACCCCCATGGGCAGGCAGTGCTTAGCCA